GAAGTACAGAGAACAGTAGGACGGCCTCGCTTACACTTAAGTTTAAGTTAGAAGCAGCAGAACAGAATCGTTTTCCTGCACCTGTATTCAAGGCTGATACAGGGAAGCAAGCAAAAATACAGCTTGGTCAGATATTTGAGTTCCGGGAGAGCCCTTGAAAATGGGCCTTATGGAACCAGCAACAAACTACCCTTGATTCTTAAGAAGTGAGTTAACAGTCAAGAAGCAGTGGAAAGAAATCATTTCAGTGAAGTGATTGGAGCTCAAGTTCTGACATATTTCTAGGTGGGTGGAAGAGAAGTCGCCTGGTGCGTTTCAGCTTTGTTTAAAGCTGACACCGCATGTGGCAGGCTTAGACTAACAGGCAGACAAGGAATTCGGGTTCAGGTATCATCAACAGTCCAACCACTTTTCTAGGTTGCTGGACTGTACTGGAGGGTTTACCCATCACCGACGAAGCGGACCTTTGGATAATGAATAGCTTGCCAGATTTCTACACGCAGAATGTACGAATCAACTTTATGGACAATTTAATTCCTGGGAGTGATGTGTCCCGTAGCGATGAGAAACTGTGGGCCACTTTGGAATAACCCAAATGATTTTTGAATTAGGCCGTTTTGATCAAGCCATTTTTTTAAAAGCCTGCAAGGACAACGAGAAACTGAACACATGAATCCCGACTTGCAGACTTGCATAAAAGTTCCTGTACACCTTGTGGACCTTAGAGTTTGGCACGTATTTTTCCTTCCTAGGTTGGTGCTTGATCAATGATTGCTCCCTCGTCAAATTCTATTCGAGACACCTATCTGCACCGTGAGCAATCCCTCCGCTGCCTCACAGCACCAAGCCTAGGAGTTGGGAAGTATTCTCTAAAATATATACATCACTCGATGGTTCCAACACTCACTGCGAAAGTGAGGTAGCATATTCTGCGCAATGCGTTACATTATGTATTGCTACTCAAAACCATTATACACATTCGCTAGGCATGCAACCCTGTGAAAATGTTGGGAGAAATGATATGCCTTGAACAATACTGCGGCGGTTGAGCTAACTGCTTGAAACACAGCAAACACGTGCAGGGCTTTCGTATGTCCCTTTTGACCATGACTTCATCATTGTAATCAAATATTTCACTTTCATTGTACGTTTTTGGTGACTTCTCCAAACAACGTCTTTAAAGAGTTCATGCACACTGTAAACCATTCAGCTTGCCCAATAAAATCCTGACATCAATCTGTTTGTCGAGTAAACAGGCAACACCATTTAGAATAACACAAAGATAGGGTGGATATATGGGTTGATAAGTTCTTATTCCATTGACCGTATTCAGCTGTTCTAACAGACAGTAAGACATGCACATACAAAGTTACACCTGTCAATTCATTTTCAGGATACTGGGTAATATTAGCAACATTTAGCTCATCAATGAACGCCAAAACATTGATTTTCATCAGTATGATTCTGTCGGTACTTCCACAACAACAACCATCCGAGCTATTTACGACTAATACAAGCGTCCAGCATTCCTGAAGTGAAAATCTGAAAATTTCCGTAGTTTAGGCTCTGGCGCGCCGTAATAGGCGTTCATGATTTCATCGTGGGAAGGGGCGGGAGACTGCATGCTTCCAAACGTCTTCACTCGTCATCAAGTTGGCACTAGCGACAATGGCGATGGCAAAAAGTCTTGACAGATTCTACTTCCTGACGTGGATAGAATAGAGCACATCAGTTAGCCATAGCTTTGGAGTCCAGTTACATTATGGCTTATAAATTTCTGCTTACTAAGAGAAATCAATGGTTAGGTTGTTGCTCACAATCAACTTTGTCATCCCTCATTTGTGATAATTGAACCAGTTCAATTTCTTTCGATGCAATGATACTCACCCTAGTCACGATAGTGCGGCACTTATATTCGACCTCAAAAAAGCAAACACAGCATTTCCAAACCCAATTTCGGCCAATTTTAGGCATATCGTTATTCCACTCTGAAAACGCTAGGACCCAAAGGAGTGAAGTTTCGAAACCAGTAAACCGAACCCGTGTCTCTCCAGGTCAGTGGTTGACCCAATATGTTTTTCGCTAGGCAAGAAATCCGCTGACCTTTTTTACTCAGCAGAGCTGCGTTATTTTGAAACATATTGGAGAACAGAGCACAATAATTACTCTTTTATCCACATATGGGGTAGCTAGTCAGATACAATTACAAGCACTTTATTAACGACAGATCCTAACACAAACAAGCACCAATCTAACCATAAACATCGTCACTTGCAAGAAACTATCGTTCGGTTTGTCCCTCTTTTCGGAGAATCATGCACCCAACCCTTGTACGAGCAAGCTGGCCCTCATTAGTAACTCACATATCCATGCTCAGCTGCTTCGATGGATATTAGAATGTCATGAGCTCTCCTACCCCCCTACTATAATTTGTTCAATTTCAGTTAACCTAACTCTCAGATGATTTGCTTTTTTAGCCTTCTGGTGACCGTCTGTCACGCTGATGTGCCACTAGAACAAAAACGCTAAACCGGGAGACATCTGGTCAGGGTGTCACAGAAATAACCGCCAGATCAACCTCGGATGAGCTCAATTCATGTGGCACTAGGTTTCTTCTGCCAACCGATGCCCGCAGAAGACACCCGTTACCTTATCGATGAAGGAAATTATTGGTTGGATATACCTGATGAGAGAACGCCTCTGTGAGTGGTGAAAAAGTTTTTTCCAGTATATGTCTTTTTGTTTATGTTGTTTTAAAAAGGGTGCTTTTACGAACTGTTGTCTTTGATGGGAGCATAAATGGCAGATTCACTTATAAATATGAATAAATAAGGTACATTAGAGAGAAAAAGATCCTTTACAGAGCTGTCGGAAGATGGATTCATTTGTACCAGCTAACCTGTATTGGTCAGAGAGGAGCGCTTGTTCGCTAATGCAGATTCACTGGCGATTTCGGTAATATCGAGAGATAAGGCAGATAATAAAACAATTGCTTTGGTTGTTGCGAGCAAAGATCATAAAGCTGGCACATATTTGGGCAACATGTGGGTTGGGATAACTTGGAATACGGAGCTTCAAATGTCGTTTTTGGTGTATCGGCTAAGAAGGGACAAATATACGTGCCATACAGTGTTTGGTTTAATATTAAGAAATGGACTGGTGATGAAACGAAATCCCACAGCTCCTTTTATACACGGCATAGAAGGAATTTAGGTAAGAATCTGATAAATAGGTCCCACAAAATTGTGTAAGGATGAATTGCTGAAGATGAACTAAATTTGTCCTGAAAGGAAACTGATACACGGATAGGTTCACAGTGAGACATCTGTGACAGACTAGTATGAAAGACAGAAGAGAAAGTCCGCCTGTCGTAAAGTTGTATGTCATCTTGTTTTGCAGAGAAGTTGGACTGTTCTGTAAGGACATTTTGCACGTCATAATTTCCACCCAACTATCAACATTTTTTAGTACGGATATCAGTAATACGATCCCAGTTCATGACACGCCTGTTGTTATCTGTTTTTCGCTTGACGTTGTGACGCAAATCACGCGGGTCATATGGCTCGGCCTCTGTTTGAATGAATGGGTGTGCCTCTGTCATTCTCAAACCGGAACTCACGATGAAACCAAACGACAAGCGGGACCACGGCTTACTTAATCAATATGAATCGTCACATCAGTCGAGTTGAGTGCGATTTTAGTTTTGAGATATGATGCTAGAAATGTTTTGTTCTTGTAAGTGTTGGATACACCTTGAGGCTGATAACTGACCTTTTACGGATCCATCGCATTTTGTGACAGCTGTAAAATAGCAGTGAGTTGGCTTCAACTGACCATTGGCTATCAAAATAACAGAAGAAAGATTCACCTCGGAGATCTTTCAGAGAAGATACGTTGTTTTATTTCGTTGACACACTTCAAGGAGGTGAGTGGTATGTAAGAAGAGATGAAACTGTCACCTATAGTTTTAAATGCCAGACTGATTTGTGTGTGTGAGAAATATGGTCGAAAGTCAAGGAGACCATCTGAAACAGTGGTTTCTAACTGTTTGGACCCTGTGTACAGATCGTTATTATCATGGAAGCATGAGGTTTTGCATTTGACCACATATTAAAATCCGTTTGCAACATGGCCGTTGGCTTAAAAGTGTTTATTAGTCTATGATTTTGGACAGATTGACCTTTGGGTAACTGATTTGGCAGTTATTATCATCCTACGCGTATCTGCAAATGCTTT